TTCCAAAGCATTGTTGTATTCCATGGCACAGTTTGGATAAATCATCTCAAACCGGCTCAAGTCATGATCCAACCTCCTTTCCACTTCCACATGTTCCTCAACATCACTCTCACTCGACCCTCCTTCTCCCTGATCATCATCATCATCTATCTCCTGACCAGGAGACCTCAGTCTGATCAAACCCTTCATTGATCCATACCCATCCACTCCCCACTCCTCTTTTGCCATATCCACCAAGACCTCCCTTGATGGAGAGAGGATAGGTGTTGGCAACACTGCTGGAGTCACAGGACAAGGTGAAACCAATGAAGCAATACCCCCACTCTTCTTTGCCCGGATTAGGAAAGATGTTGTATTCCTCGGAGCAAAGGGAGCCTTCCTATTGTTCCCACTGTTATTGTTATTATTGTTGTTGTTGTTGTAATTGTTGTAATTGTGAATCTTCTTTTTGTGAAAAAATTTCCTAGCTTTAATCCGATTCTGCCATTGAAGTTCATTAAGAGTAGGAGGCTGATAACCCCCAGGAGCAGATGCAGTTCCAACAGGTCCTCCATTCACAGCACCACCTCCCACTCTATTTCCACCACCACCAATAACCATCATAGATTTCTCCTTCCTTCTCCCTCCATCCATTCGGTTGTCATTCTTAACCACTTTTTTCCCCTTCCAAGTGTTCCTAACCCCCAATGGCTTCTGTTGCTTCCCAGTCACAAATCCCTGATGGTTCATAGCATTTAGGTTAAACTGCATCTGAGACTGATCCAGAACTGGTGGCGGCTGTGGCCATACTCCAAACTTCCGATTCATCATAGGAGGCTGCTGCATCTGTGAATAGCAAAATAAGAGCGATTACTTCCGATCCATCATTATTAAACACTGGATTAGCATCTCAAGCTTGGTTGTATTATAAAACACTGGATTAGCATGGTAACTTCTGTTCCAATTCATCATATGAAGATAGCGAGGAATGATATCATTCACATAAAACAATAATCGGTGAATCATTTCCAACGAGAATAATTACCTGCTGACGGACGTTCATATTCATCATCTGACCCTGACTCATACACATGTGTGGTTGCTGCTGCTGATTCACCATCGAAGCTGCTTGTTGTTCGTTCATCTCCTTTCTAGATTCCAAAAATTTCAAACATCGTCATCATCAATTCATAAATTCAAACAAAGGAAAAAGAGATCCACACACTTGTAAGATTAGTTGTAGATGCTCAAAATGATAGGGAAAAAAATTCACAGATCTCTCTTATTCCTCTCCTTTTAAAATAATAATAATAATAAATCTCTTTGATCGAGATAAATAAAAACCTCCAAAAATTAGAAAATTTAAAACCTCCAAAAATTAGAAAATTTTAAAACTCTAAAAATTGAGATTAAGGTTACAACCTTTTCTTGTGTTCCGTTACTTATTTTCGAATTGATTCTTTAGTCTATCTTGGCACAAATCGATGCAGTTTACGAAATTTCAGTTTTAATTGATTCAGAGCTCTCTGGAATTATCACGACAAATTTCACGGTGAAAATAACTCGCAAAACCGATTGAATGGGCTTCGATCCGAGTTGTTTATATAGGAGGAAGGGAATGGAGTTTGACGGCCGAGATATTGTTGGCTAAAATAGACAGTAGCGATTAAGCACGCGTGTATGGATGTTAGACTCGTATTAGGTAGGTTTAGATAGTTTCTTTAGGACTGGAAAACAAAAGTTGGATGTTGAAAGAAATTATAAAAAAAATTAGAGGAGCTAGAAAAATTGGAAAAAACTGAAAAAATTTCAAAAACTTGGAAAACCTAAAATAACATTAAAAAATTATTTTAGTGTATTTTTTTTATTATTTACATTCTAATTCTTGTTCTTATTATTATTATTATTATTATTATTATTATCATCATCATCATCATCATCATCATCATCATCATAATCAACATCAAATTATCTTAATAATTCCTTTAAGATATAAAAAATATTGTTGTTTCTTATACACAAAAAAACTTCTTTTGCAAAACAAAATAATTATAATATAAAGTTAGCATAAATATCAAAATGTTAAATTTTAATAAGTTATTCTGGTTATGTTGCACCTCAATTTATTTATGCAGTATTTATTATAAAATAATATGTTTGTAATTATACTTTATATATTACAAGATTTTATTTTAAATATCACACATGTCAGATAATGTAATCAAACCTATTTTTTCTTTTATGATTGACATTTTATTTGCATTGTAACTCATATTTTTGGAATAAAGACATAGAACTTTTATTTTTGTACATCTTTTGATGTTTTTCTCCTATTTTAGTCTTTTTCTCTAAACTATTTTGACTTTCAAAATTTTTTATAAAAATAGAAAAATGAAAAAAATTAAATTTTGAAATAAATAAAAATGAGAAAAAATTGTGTAATAAAGGAAAAGGTGAGGGGTTTATATAACGGCTAGGTTCTAGAGCCACTCAAAAAGAGTGGCCACGGAAGCCGCTCACCTAATTGGGACACCTACGGTGTTCCGTTCGCAAAATTGATAGTTTCTACCCTCTCTACCCCCCGGTAAACCCCCCCCCCCCCCCCCCCCGGCCCCG